ATTTCTGACTGGAATGTATATTAATATCAAGTTGGCCTGGAGAAGTTGTTAGCCATGAAAGGCTGTGGTTATCCTCGGAAAGTGGGAACACTGGGGACTTACTGGGGAACTCCTGGTACTCAGACTTGGAGGGGTCTTGGAGACCTAGAGAGGCTAGAGCTGACTGAGGCAGATGGTGTTCGGCTTTGTAAGGCATGCTGATGTTCACCGTAGCGGGACAGGACCTTGAAAGCAGTTATGATGGAGATTTGAAACTTGGGCATTGGCAAGTAGGTGTCCAGATAAAGGCAGACATGAAGAAGAAATCTGAAAGGCCCTTAAGCCTTGTGGCAGAGCTTATCAGCCTCTATGCTGAAAGACCTAACACAATGCTTGGTGTTGAGTAGGCACTCGAGAGATGTTGGTTCCCCTAAAGACGTGGCATGGTCAAAGCTGAATAAATCTAAATAACCACAGTGTAGTTCTAGGAAAACATTTGTAAGAGGAGTAGCAGGATCTTTGCAATAAGAAGTTGGTGGCTTCTTTGTTGTAAAATCGTGGATGCTGTGGTGGAGGTAGTGTGGGGGGGCCCAGAGTTCCTCTGCACTGCTATTTGCTGTCTGCCTTTCCCCTCAGTGAATCTGTGAATTGCCTTCTGGGAGACCCCATAGTTCCATGAGCACAGATCTACAAACCAGTAAATTAAAGGATCTCTAAGGACAGTTCAGACTCTAACCATCAATGTTTTTATTATTAGAACATTTCTCCCTAAGTCATCTGTTGTTTTGTCATCCATGCAGTATCCTTGCTTTACTCTGGTACCCATGACTCAGCTGTGTAGATACTGGGTTTGGATATCAGGGACTGTGGATGTGGCCCTGTCTGGCCTTTTGTCGCAGAAGCATGTCTTTTGTCATCAATTTCTTTTTTCTTTTTCTTTTTCTTTCTTTATTTTTGAGACGGAGTTTTGCTCTTGTTACCCGGGCTGGAGTGCAATGGCGTGATCTCGGCTCGCTGCAACCTCCACCTCCTGGATTCAGGCAATTCTCCCGCCTCAGCCTCCCGAGTAGCTGGAACTACAGGTGTGCGCCACTATGCCCAGCAACTTTTGTATTTTTAGTAGAGATGGGGTTTCACCATGTTGACCAGGATGGTCTCGATCTCTTGACCCTGTGATCCACCCGCCTCGGCCTCCCAAAGTGCTGGGATCACAGGCGTGAGCCATTGCGCCCGGCCTCCATCAACTTCACTAAGAGGTTTTTTCAGGACTTGGATGTGAATCAATTTTCCCCAAGAAAACCTTTGAACAGAACTATAGTGGACAGCAAACATGACCATGGTCATTTCTTTGCCTGTATTTACATCCCTGTACAATGTGACTTTTCCGATCCTCTCATCAAGCTATGGAGTCTATTTCCTCCACCTTTGAGTCAGAGACAACCCTGCAGCTTAAGCTGACCATTAGGATATGGTGGAAGTGATACTGTGCCTACTCTGAGTACAGGCCTTGGCACACCTTGCAGCTTCTGCTCTCACTGATCAGTCATCATGTGACGACCAGCCCAGGTTAACAAGCTGGAGGATGGAGATCATGTTGCCTAGAGATGAGCTGACTTGGTGGAGGCCATGCTGCATCAGCCAGTTTCCGGCTGGCCTGGCAGCTGATGGCGGAGGCGTGAGTGAGTCAAGACCAGAAGAACCACTCATCTGAGCACACCTCAAACTGTCAACCTGCAGAATTGTGAGCTAAATAAACCGTCGTTATTTCAAGCCACTGGGTTTTGGATAATTTGTTATGCAGCAAAAGTTAGTAGATGTAAGAAGTCAATTAAGGAAGTGACCAGGTGTCAGGATGGCCGAGTGGTCTGAGGCGCCAGACTCAGTTAAGGAAGTGACCAACAGACTCTCTAGATGCTTAATGCAGTCAGCATGAAGGCCCAGCATGGTCCTTGGTGGCAGAGATCATGTCATGTGTTTCACCAAGCGTTTCCTTTTCTTCTTGGGCATACAATAATACCACCTTTCCCAGCCCTCTTGTATCTGGATAAGGCAGTATCACTAACTCTGGCCAGATGTAATGGGAACGGACATGATGAGTGGCATATCTGTGCCGGGATGGTAAGTCTTCACTATACTTTCTCAAACTCTCTGTTTACGTCATCTGCCAGCTGGATGAAATCATGATGACTTCAAAGACTGATGGCAGAGCCACCAGATAGAATGAACTGCTTAGAAGGGAGTGCCTCCCCTGTGTCCACCTCTGATGTGAGCTGTTTCTGGTTTATGAAGTTACTGACATTCAGCATTGTCTGTTAAAACAGCTGGCATTTATTACCTAATACCTAGAGGTAAGGATTAATTCACACCCTAGAGCTCCAAGGGAATTCATTTTCAAACTATCAAATACATTTATTTTTAATTTTATTATTTATTTCTAAGACAAAAATAAGACAACACATTCACATCCTTCAAAATTCAAAAGATAAAGAAGAATTTAGAACACAGGCAGTAAAACTCCTTTTTATACCTATCCAATAGCCATCCAGATCATTCTTTGAAAGCAATGTCAGATATTTCCTGTGTATCCTTCAGAAGTATTTTTGCATGTGCAAATAAGTGAATGTGTGTGTGTGTGTGTGTGTGTGTGTGTGTGTGTGTGTAGGGTAGCATGATGCTTTACAAGTTGTCCTGTACCTTAAAATGTTAACACTGAATTTTGGAGATCTTTCCTTCTAGTACATAAATACCTTCCTTATTTTTTTCAGCTGTATGCTAGTGCATAGGGTGGATATATTGTCATTCATCTAACCGTTCTCAAGTTCGTTACCATTCAGCTTCTTTCCACTCTTTTGCTAAGACAAACAATGCTGCAGCGACTCCATCTTTATACATACATCATTTTGCACAAGTGTGAGCTGACCTTAAAGAAAAATTACTAAATTGGAATCAAATGGCAACATACGTTTACCTTGTTGAAGGAGATTTCCAAATTTTATTTATAGAGATTTTACAATTTAAACTTCTTACAGCAATATATGATATGAAAGTGCCTGTTTTTCAAACACCCTCCTCAACACAGTGCTTTTTTTTTTTTTTTTTGAGACGGAGTTTCGCTCGTTACCCAGGCTGGAGTGCAATGGTGTGATCTCGGCTCACCACAACCTCCACCTCCTGGGTTCAGGCAATTCTCCTCCCTCAGCCTCCTGAGTAGCTGGGATTACAGGTACGTGCCACCATGCCCAGCTAATTTTTTTTTGTATTTTTAGTAGAGACGGGGTTTCACCATGTTGACCAGGATGGTCTCGATCTCTTGACCTCGTGATCCACCCACCTCAGCCTCCCAAAGTGCTGGGATTACAGGCATGAGCCACCACGCCGGCCAACACAGTGTTTTAATCACCATTTCAATGTTAAATGAACTGATGACTTTTCTATTTATGTGCTTTGTGAATCTTTTCATATGATTAAAAGTCAGTTTTATCGTGAGCTGTCATTGGCTAATTTTTCTATGATATCGAATAACTGGTCTTTTTTTTATTACCTGGAGCCAGAGGAATAGATAGTGCTCATGATGAGAAAGTCTACCTTCACTACCCACAACTGCGTACAGCTCAGAAAATCCAGACAGCGAAGCCATCACTGCCAACCCACGTGGACAGGAGGAGAAAGGAAACTGCAGCTTTGTTCCAGGTCATGTCCGTAGGCTACCAGGATGCCTGGCGCACAAGAAGCACTCAGTCAATTTTACTCAGGTTTTAATTGGCAGATGAGTGAATGTCAAATGATCGAACTTGGCATTTTTTTTTTTTTTTTTTGATGCTGAATTCCTTCCAGAACTTGATTTCTACCCTTATGAATGGAGCCACAGGAAGGTCACAGGTGTTGGTAATACTAAGGAATACTAAGGAACTAAGCATCCTTCTGCTACATCCCCTAGAAGAGAGTGCCAGAGGCTGCTTAAGGCAGGACCTTGTGCTCAAGAGACTCCCACCTCAATCTCAGGGCTCCAGGTGGTGTCAAGGAGCCAGATGATGGCGTGTGGTGGCTGAGATGGGTTCCCCCAGTAGGGAGAACTGCTACTTGGTTCTTCACGTTACTATAGCAGAACAGAATGAAACAGGAGATGGTGGTGAACTTTGTCTCCTGTGAACACCAGAGCCTTCTTCTCCTGGGAAGCCCAGTGGCTTCCCTCTCCTCCTCAACCTCAAAACCACTTTTAGAAATTGTTTCTCTGTTAGTCACCTTCCTGCTTTGGGTTCCTACAACAATCCACCCTGAGACAAAAATTTGTGTGCAAGTAGTTTGTTTGGGAAGTGGAGACAATTCCAGTGGACAAGAGATAACTGTCAGGCAAAGAGTTGCCAGCACTGGTGGCTGGAAGAGAGGCCAGTGGGCCCTTCAGTGGTCTGGGTGAGGGGATGTGAGTGGGGCACTGATATCTTCCGCTCCAGCCACTTACATTCTAGCCTTGTCTCCAATCTGGCCCCTCCCCTTTCTTCCACCCATTTTTCTCCTACCACCCAGAGTGATCTAAAATGAAAATCCCTTCGCTTCTCTGCTCTTAAAGCACAAACTCCTTATCAAAGCCTCATAGCTTACAGCTGCCCCTTGCCCTGCAGGTTTCTAACCAGAGACACCTGTCGTTCCCAAACACCACTCCCCGAAGCCCAGCATCCCCTGCTGCGGTCCCCTCATTGCCCTGCGACTGACTGACTGCATTGTCTGTTCTCCCCCGATGCTCCAGCTGAGTGAGCACCTCCAAGGCCAGGCTGGGTCCCTGGGCTCTGTGTCCACAGCCCCAGGTAGCTGGCATCCAGCAAGGCCCTTAAGGGCTGCCTGTTGAGTGGATGCATGAATTTAATGATGGAAAGAAAGCATCAGAAAGGGCATTGGGAGCAGGTAAGAGAAGGTATTTTGCTAAGCAGTCACTACGAACAAGGAGCTTTACAGATATTATCTCATTTATTTATTTATTTTAAACACATTATTCCATGTTATGTATTATAAAGGAAGTAAGATGCTACAAAGGGGAAAAGTTGATGAACTCGTTCCGATTGATAAGGAACTGTTTTCTGTCGCTCTGTTTTGCTCAGTTGGAATGAAAGAAGAGCATCATCAAAGGCCAAACCAAAAACAAAACAAAACGAATAAGCTTCTAAAGTAGCAGAATGAGGCTCATCACGAACAGCTGCAGAAACTCGAATTGCTGCCAGGGAGTAGATTGATGTCTGTCTCCACCAGACCACCGTGAGTTAGCTGCTTTGTTACTCTATGGGTGTTTAAAACTCAACATTATTTTTAGAATTTTTTTTGAGACAGAGTCTCGCTCTTATTATCTTATTTAATACACATAATGATCCTGTTCCTATTCCCATCTGAAAAAACAAGAAAACCTAGGCAAAGAGAGGTTCGACGACTCTCCCCAGGTCACATGGATGGTGGATGGTGAGTGTCATACCCAGGATGCAAATGCTGCTTTCACAAAGAAGTGACCAGAAAGCTCATGCACTTTTTGAATCACACGACTGCTTGCAATTATGCCCTCTCTGTGTACACTGCGAAGTCAGCTTTATGGATGTGAGTCTTTAAACCTCTCCGCGCAGAATGCCTGCCCCTTCTTTCAGGCAGTGAGGCCACTCTGGGCTCAGGGCAGTGGGGGTGATGGGACGACCATGCCCCGCCCCCTTCCTCTCCTCACTGTCACCCGTGGAGTTAGTTCCAAACGTCAGCATGTCTGTTACCACACGTTATCAGTGTCAGGTCTCCCTGGGACAAAGTGCTTATTGGAATCCTCCAGAAGTCCACTTATCACGCGCCCCACACCAGAGGCTCCGGCTCTCTGGAAACTAGCCCTTTCCCAGCAGTCTGAGATGGAATTAACCTCCCAAAGGACCCCGTGAAGCCTTTATGAGCCAATCAAAATTGATTCCACATGGAGTTTCCATGGGTTTTATTTTATTTCCCTCCAAATCTCACTGCTGTTGCACTAGGCACCAGCCTCTGCAAGTTGCTTAGAAGCTGCTTTGCGTCAGCCGGCTCATCCAGGTCCCCATGTGCAGGCGGAGTGATAAGCACCACTACTTATTTAAAAAAAAAATACAGACATATAATTAAGGAAAACATTCTGATGTCTGCAGAGTCCGGCGGGCAATAAATAACCGGTGAGAAAGGGCTCAAGGTGGAGCAGGGCTGAGGATTTCAGTGTGAAAATGAATAAATAAGACCCCCATTCACTCCTCACCTTGTAAACACAGGGTCAGCACCAGTTTTAGGTGACTCACTGTTTTCTTCCAAAATCGGTTCTACTCTGGGTTTGCCCAATCCTTCAGAACTAAAGCTGTTTCTCAAGGGGGACACACTTCTAATTCCATGTGTTACTCTTCTGAATGAGAACAAAAAATAGAAGAGAGGATTCTGCCTGGCAGTGGACGTCTGCTGTGTCTGTTAGCTCAGCCTCCACGCCACCTCCTTCTGCAAATGCCACGTGGATTTCGCTTTGGGGTGCCACCTCCTCCCTGTTCCAATTCACAAGGTTTGTTACTCAACCCACGTGGCTCCAGGGAGTGGACACAGGACAGGGGCCTGGCCAGTGGAATTGCTCAGGGCTTGGACATGTGACCCGCACTGGTGCCGGGAGAGTCAGCCCCAGCACTTGCTTAGAACTCTGGGAAAGGTGATGTTTTCTTCCTGTTGTGTTTGCAGCTCTGTAGATACCTGATTCTGCTAGTGGTCGTCTTGGCTACCATGTAGGAGGGCTTCATCCTACCACGAGGGTGAAGCCAAAACAGAATAAAATTAAAATGTGGAAAGCACATTGCTGTAGCGACTGAAGCCAGGCTTCAGTTCAATGAGTGCACATGTTTCCCCACTCTCTATTTCCTCAAGTCAGTTTGACTCCTGCTTTTTGTCCTTTGCAGCCAAGTCATCTTGGAAAGCAACTGTGCCAATCCCTCACTTTCAATAAAGATCTGCTCCCCATTTTTTTAGGGCCAGGACAGAAGGACTCTGCTTTATGGGTTTTCACGAAGGTCTTGGTACTCATTGGCAAAGTATTTCTCTTCTACAGGGAGAGTGGGAAGAGGGGAGTGGGTACGTGCTCAACAACACAGAGAAGGGGAACGGTGTTTTGAAATTCTCTTTTTTCCTTCAATGTTTAAGTGCCAGGGTGCAGGTCCAGGCTGTGCAGGTTTATTACACAGGTGAATGTGTGCCATGGTGGTTTGCTGCACGGCTCGTCACCTGGGTGTTCAGCCCAGGGTCTATTAGCTGTTCTTCCTCCCTCCAAACCCCCCAACCCCTTGGACAGGCCCCAGGTTGTGTGTTATCCTCGACCGTGTGTCCACGTGTTCTCATCGTTCAGCTCCCACTTATGAGAACGTGCGGTGTTTGGTTTTCTGTTCCTGTGTTAGTTTGCTGAAGATAATGGGATAATGGCTTCCGGCTCCATCCATGTCCCTGCAAAGGACATGATCTCATTTTTTAATGGCTGTGTAGTATTCCATGGTGTATATGTGCCACACTGAAATTCTCTTTGAAGTTAGCAGAAATGTGTATTACAGTGCACAGATGTGGTGGCTGAAAAGAAACATCAGTCATGGGCTCAGAACTCCAGAAACTTAGATTTTGAGAAACAGTGACAGGACACATGAGCAGTAAAGCTAAAGACAAGCCCATAATATAGGCCCTGACCAAAGACCCGGATGGTCAGAGTTGCAGGAGTTCGTGGGAGGTGGAGAGGCAGGATGGTCAGAGTTGCAGGAGTTCGTGGGAGGTGGAGAGGCAGGATGGTCAGAGTTGCTGGAGTTCGTGGGAGGTGGAGAGGCAGGCTTCCAAAAGCTGTTGCGTTGGGAGTTAGAGGAGAAGGGAGAGGGATGGCCTCATTGGAACCAGTACAAATTTGCAAGACTGGAGACTGTCCAGCCCTTTAAACCCATGTGTTCATTTCTGGGTGAGAGGTCCTCCCCTTGTCCTCTGTCCCCTTCATTCACTCTACATCCTCTTCTCCTCCCCTACCTTCTCTCCATCCCTGCAAGTTTTCATGGAGCAGGGGACTCGTGGGAGGCTGTGGTTGCAGGGCTTCATTTCTGTCTGCTCCACCACCCCTGGGAATCCAGCACATGAGCTTTGAATTTTATCGGGGCGGAAGTAGGTTAGACCGAAGGAAGAACCAAGCAGAACTCCTAAAAAAGCCCACATCAGTTGCCATGGCAACCTGCTGACTCTTTCCCTGAAGGAATTTTAAAGTAGGTCACACTTTCCCTTTTATGGGAGGTTGAGAGTCCTGCCAGGCACGGTGATGGGACCTGCAAGGATGCAGCACTGGAAGGGCAAAGTCTGTCAAATCTGATTTCACTTATAGAAATCTATACCAAAAGACAACTCCCTCCCCTCTGCTGGGACGCTCCCATGTGCCACCTGTGTGTGCAGCCTGCGAAGTGCACGTGGCAGTCCGAGTGATGGAGGGACCTGTATGCTTATGATTACTGACAGGCCCCTCCCAATGGGTTGAAGCATTACCTGGGTGCAGCCCCTTCCTTCACAGCAAGTGCTGGTGCCTCTTGGTGGCTTTCCTTTCAGTGCCAGCATGAGATCCCCTTAAGCGTCCCCATCTTCTGTCACTAGTGCCTTTGGGTCCGGGTTTGACTCCCTTATTTGCCACTTACTGAACATGAGATGCAGTCAGGCTTTTGGAGCCTTGGTTCCTCATCTGCGATAATGGGGCAGATCACCTACCTGGAAGCACTGGAAAGAGGAGAAGCCAAGATAGTGCAAAGAGATGGCCCAGACCCGTCTCTGGCACAGAGCAGACATCGTCATTAACTGCATCTTTCCCATCTCTTTTGGAGGAAATTACTGACTTTAGGGCAGTCATATCTCTTTAGGAGCTGGTCCCAGCTCAGCACAGGTGTTCCTTAGGTTGAGATGCCATTTCTGAAGGCCCACCTTGTGCAAATCTCACCTCGTACTCTCTCCCGGCCTCCTTCATTCTCCTTTCAAACCTTACATGTTTATGATCATTTGATTAACATCTGCCTCTGCGGTGAGAACGGAGTGCGGGCACTGAGTTTGCCATGCCCTCTGCTGTATCCCCAGTATCTGGCACACAGTAAGGGTTCAGTAAATGTTTGTTGAATGAACGAATGAGTGATCAGAAATCCTGCTCGGTAGTTGCATATGTCTTTGCTTAATAAGACACAGGGGAAATGAAGACATTACCATCTAATACGTGTGATTTCTCTGGGAGGAAAGAATCGTTGCCAACATGAGCCCATGTGATGTTTATAAATAATTAAATGGACCCTTGATGGTGAAAAGTGAGGAACTCTTGGAGTCACACTGTCTGGCTGAAATTTGCTTTTGTTTGCTCTGGTTTAATGCAGCAATTTCAAAATTTGCATCTGTTTCTTCCACCTGCTAAATTCCATGGACTAGATCACATCTGTGTTGCTTTAGCTTCTTAGAAGAGGTATTCAAGTCAAAATCTGTCCCTAACCTGCCTCTCAGATAACTACTGATGTGTTCCTTCCTTCCTACATGGAAGCTTTGTCTCGAGGATGTGTGTCTCGCACCTTCCACTTGTGTTCCCTTGGATTTCGACACGGGGATACCTGTAATCACAGGCACACAGGCATGCATACCTGCACGTGTATGTGCACATGTGTGTAAGCACAAAGGAAGGCACTGAGAGACAGGGCTAGGAGGATGATTTCATGTGTTTTCTGGGGCATGAAGAAGCTATTCCTGTGGGAGTGGTGCTGGAATTGGAGTCAGGCATAAGTCAAGAAAAGAATACACAGTTGGTCATTGAAGAGCTGGCCCTCTTGCCACTAAATAGAAGAGAAACTACACAGAAAGTCTGAGGGGATCTCTCTGTGATGACAGAATCAGAGATGGTGATAGGGAAAAGCAGTGATTCTGATTTTTGTACTGGGCCACATGGCAGCTCAGGGTAAGGAAGATCTCCAGCGAACTCTGTGTTCATCGTTCCAACTGGAGATGAACTTCCTCATGCCCGGTCACATCAAAGTCTCCTTTCTATCATCAGGGACTACATCAGGGAGAGTCTTGCTGGGTGATTGATGCCTGGTAACCCTTCCAGAAGTCCTTTAGAAGCAGAGAAAGAGAGGGTGGCCGAGATGGGTAACTGTCTCTTCTTCTTTTCCATGGTAAATGTTGAGATGGGAGGACATTGCCCAGCCAGGGACTGAATTTCCCACCCCCACCCTGCTACCCTTGCACTGACTTGG